GAATTCCTTAATTTAGGAACTTTTTTTATGAAATATGTTGAAAGAAGGGATTTAGTTGTTAATTTCCGGACCAGTTGATGGGTTATTTCACAATAATTTCCCAAATATATGTTTTTTTATGTACTTTTCATTGAAATAATGGAGATAATTCGCCATTGTCGGTTTTATATGATGTATGGTAACTTTACACTGATACCAAAAATATACGATTTTAAGGTATTTTATATACCTGAATGCGACGTAAGTGCAAAAATAGCTACTCCCAGTTTACATAAACCTACTTCTGGTTAAGATTTTCAGGGTCATATGTATTCTTACACAATGCAAAAGACAATAATGTCTCTATTGTGTATGATTCAGGAGTTATACTGCCAAACAGCTTAATTTAAATCTTTATGGCGATAAGACTTTAAGGTACTTCGATCAAACTGCATTTAGTTGCGACATATCGTAACCAGCAATTTTACAAACTTTAACGGTTTCAAAGTATAGCGAATTTCAAATGTTCTTTTGATTGAAAAAGGATCTCAAATCTAAAGACCCTTACTCTATTTCACTTACGGTTTATGATTTACATTTTTATATCACTTAATATGTGAAATACTGAAAGAGAAATAACTCTCAAAAGAAGTCTCCAGAGCGCTTATCAATTTGAACAAAAATATCCTGAAGATATTACGACTACTTCGAGAAAAAAAATGTCGAAATGATTTACGGTTTCAGAGCGGATGCGATAACAAGAAAAACAGTGTACGGGGAGATAACTCATATGATATATGAATGATAGTGTTTCTTTTGAAAAACTATTAAGTTGTGATTGCAAGTACCTGTGTATCACATGTGTATGGCTAATCAGAAAAGAAGAATTGCTATAATTGAAACATGATCCCTTCTCTAAAACAAACTATTGTGATTGCATCTTTTTATTATCCAGCCATGCTTGATCTATGTGGTCACTCCACATTTTGAGAAGGTACAGAATTCTAAGTAAAAGATATATCAAAAAACTAATCATGTGGTTTTATGACTTGCAGAAACTTTTTACACCATTTTAATTATCTACTGCAAACTTTTGGCATGCAATTTGCCCTTAAATTAAGAAAAAATTAGCCGAACAGTTACTTTAGTTTAGATGTACAATTGCATACAGTTCCTTTTTAAATCAAAATTTATAATAAATTACTGTTTATGAACTAATGTGATAAAAAATATATCAAATATAAGCAGTTGACAAGAATAACAAAATAATTTTTTATCAGTATCTTATGCCTGTGTAAGTTATTGAATAAAATTTGGTACAAGATGTGTATTGATATCAAAGTTGATTCCCACACTTTTTTGAAATTCTATTATTCCAATTTATTCTTAAGCAAGTAAGAGTACTGATACAATAAAGTTTGATAGACAATATCATTATTTACAAACAATTTCACTCATAGGTGGGAGTATTAATGAATCACCTCCACTTTAATGACAACTTAATTGACCTCAGTTAATATCACTTGTATTACACAATTGAAAACACAATTATTGACCTCAATAGTATACCTATAATCTCTTTTGATCTACAATACATGCAATTAGTGTGTAATTTATTTCTCAAAGATGCATGATTAAGGAATTAAAAAATGCATATTTTTGCAAAGAAAAGGCTAAAATTAGCAAAAAATTTTTAAAAAAATGCTAGCAGGGTCTATTTCATTTGTAAAATCAGTGTTATAATCATCTGATAATAATAGTCAATAATTTAGATTAATTGAAGTTAAAATTATCATTAATTTGCCTGAAACAATAAACATAATTGCACAACTCTAACCTCTGTGTCTTCTGCAGTCAAATTTATTTGTTTCTTCCACATTATATTGCTATTTCACAGTGTAAGGTATTTCTACATGTATGTTTAAATACAGGAAATATTTTTTCTCAGTGAAGAATGCACACCATATAAAACAAAATAGTTATTTAATTTTTGTTGTTGAAAAAGTGCATTTTCAATGCCTTACTTCTGCAATTATTGCCAAACTTAAAAAAAATAGTACTACACCTTCCTTTGAAGGTTTCTATTTCCAATCATGCTAAATTAATTAATTTAAAAAAAAAATTTCAGAAATCAGCGCCCCTTCTAAAAATTGAAATTTCAAAAGAATATGTATCATTATTGAGAAATTCTCCATCTTTGGGCAATTGAATACAATTTTTTGAGGAAGTTTATGGAAATGAAATATAACCATTCAACTTCAATGTCATATCATTTTTATCAAAAATCAATAAATGATCTTAAGACTAGTTTGCTTGAAAATAAAGAAGATAAGTTGCTACTTCCGGTTTACAAAATCTCACATCTGGTATCATCTGATAGGTAACCTAATACTGATTTCAAACATAGAGGGTTCTAGGTACTCTTACATGAAACCAGTGCAGCAAATGGCTACCGGTTTACACAATGGTCCTTTCCGGTTGACCCTTTCAAGGTCATCTCTAACAACCGTATGCAAAAGACCAAATGGCTTAATCAAGTATACATGTCAACTTTAAGCAAAGGTCAAAAGCTAGAACGTCCAATTTACCTTTGACCTTGACCTTACTTTCAAGGTCATAAAGCAATGACATTTAATCAAGAAACCCGAAGTCTCTACTATATATGATGTATAAGTTATATCATAAAACAGCTTATTTTAAACAGTAGAGGGAGGAAACTCCTATTAAATATAAACGCATCATTTCGATCAAAAAATATATTGTACAACCTGTCGCAACTTACAGTTTGATAACAATATTTTGTCGATATTTTGCACGATTTCTAAGGTAAAGGGATATTAAGACAATATAAAAAAATTTAGAACATGATCTTGACATTTGATCTTGACCTAGTTTTCTTTTGGGTGGACGAAGGACCTTAAAACAAAAGACCCTAGGTCTCTATCAAGTAAGGTTTACCAGTTAAAAAGACATGATTATCACTTATATCAAATACATAAAGGGAAATAACTCACATGGAGTCTCTTTCCTTTCGGTTAAAATGTTTTGACATCCTTGTATGTTACGAGTAATTTGGACACGATTAATTTAACGGTTGCGAAGGAGTAGCAATAACAAGACAAAAGTGAATAGGGGGATAACTCTCAGAGAAAAGAGTTAACGGTTACACAGAGTCAACTGCTAAAGCGTGATCACGGTTCGAGATCAAGTGCCAAAAATCATTTCAAACGAGACAAAAAAATATCTCACGATCAAAAAGTATCGAAATAAAAAAAAAAACATAAATAAGATTTAATCCCTTATTACTGACAAAAGGACATAGAAACCATAAATATTTTGGAATCAGTAATAAGAACCCTATGATTTGACACCAGTAGTAAGGTCTTTTTAATTTAATTTCTAAATTATTGATAATAAGTCACTTCCGGTTTACTGAAAGTTACTACTGGTGTCTAATCACAGGGTTCTAATTACTTATTCCAAAAACATATGGTTTAATGTCATTTTGCCTGAAATAACGGAGAACATGCCACTTCCGGCCTGATAAAATAGCTTTATTCAGACTGATTCCAAAAATATATTGTTTCGATATACTTCTGCCGTAAATAGAGAGAGATAATTTTCTACTTCTGGTTTACAGAAGGTCACATACAGACTCAAATGATAGGTTAAAGCATGCCGCTTAAAACATTTATGGTTTCTAGCTATTTTTCCATTAAAAAGAGGCAACATTGCTACTTCCAGTTTACTCAAGGTCACTGCCGGTTGACATTTTTCAAGGTAATTCATCTCCTTACCTATTGCAAAAAAATCCTATGAATTTAACATGTACCAGTATGAAATTATAGCAAATGTAAAAATCTAGAACGTCAAATTCTCATTTGACGTTGACCCAAATTTAAAGGGCATAAAGGAAGTATCTCATATCGATATACCCTAGGTCTCTTCTATATATGGTTAATGAGTAAACTCTCCATAAAACTTATTTTAAATTATCTAGGAGAGAAAACTATTAAAATGGACAGTACTCTTTCGACCAAAATTATAAGTTACGAAATGTCGCAACTAACAATTAGGTGAACAATTTTGTCATTATTAATTACGGGTTGTGAGGAAAAGCGAAAACTTTCAAAGTTAAAATTTAGATCATGACCTTGACCTTTGACCCTGACTTCAACTCTCTGATGGTGAACCACGGACATCAAATCCAAATACCCTATGTCACTATAACTTCAGTTTATGAGTAACATTTATATATTACTATGTCAAATACAAACGGGTAAAAACTGTTATATGGAGTCTCCGTATCGCTTCGGTAAAAATTTTACAGATAATCCTACATTCCTAGCGATAGAACGAGTAGTTTGCAAAATAAATTTGTGGATTTCTTATACACGGTTGCGAAGGAGTAGCAATACCAAGAAAACCAGTGTAGGTAGAGATATCTCTCAGAAGAAAAAAAATACGGTTATACACGGTCAACTGCTAAAGCGTATTCACTTTTCAAAATGATGTGCCATCAATCTTTTCGATATCTTGCGGAAACATAATCGCAGCATTAAAAAGTGGCGGAAGTAAAAATATGAATAATCAGAACAAAATCAAATGGAATTTGCATTGGAAAGTGGAGAGACCTAAAAAGAAAACGATCAGAACAAAATTAAAAGGTCTTTCCACAGTAAAGGGAAAAGACCTAAAACAAATATGAACTGAACACAATCAAAAGGTATTTGCACAGGAAATAGAAAAAGACCTAATAATCAGAACACAATCAAATGTTCTTTCGACAGGAAAGAGGAAACACCTAATATTCAAAACAAAATCAAATTGTCTTTCCATGGACAAGTGTAAATACAAAAAAATAATCAGAACAAAATCAAAATATTTTCCACAGAAATGGAAAGACTTAATTATGTAAAATTGTTGTATGAAAATGATCTTTCAAGTTTAAGGTACATAAGCACTAGTAGAAAACATCGAATGCGTTTGTCGGTTTTTATTCGTTATAACACAAGTCAAAATATATCAAAATGATAAACTTTATTTAATCGAATGCACTGCTAATATTTGTTTTCAAAAGATTCCAGATTTTATCAGAACTGCGGTAAAAACATTAAAAAATTCATTTCTACCCTGAAGATGAGACACTTTGCTATGCATTTGTACCCACATCTTGTCTCCTCTCGACAATGGAATGTTTACAGTTTGGGACGACATATCATAAGAAGGCCCAGTGTATAGCCACACCAAAATGTTTCCATTCTTCATTATAGTCAGATGAGTATGTAAACCGCTGCCTCCCATCATCGACGCCGACACCGAGTATACACCAGGCGTCTGAACAGTAAACACGCCCGTAGATGAATCGTAACAATTTCCAATATGAGCAAGTACGCGGCTGTATTTGACTACTTGTCCTTTCCAAAATGTTCCACCATATGCAGATAATGTGGCTGTAAATGCAGAAAATGAAGAAATATCCCGTGCCCCTGAAAATAGAATTAAAGGTTTTTTAAACATGTTAAATATACAAACACAAATAAAGTCATTTACAAATTTATAGAAACACTTATTACCATCTCTAAGAAAGTCAATCCTGCTGTCAACTAAGTATTATTCATTTAAGGTAATGTAGAAAAGTCCTAATTATATCTTGAATATTTACAGTAGCCTTATTGTTTGTGCAAATGCTAATTTTGTATTGGCCCAGGACAAATCACCTTATTTCGTCAAATGTTTCATATTTGAAAAATAAGCTCAGCTTTACTAACTTATCAATTCTATTTTTACAATTTGTTAGCCGGCATGACGTTAAAACGATGAATCAAAGTATTCAACTTTATATATAACTAATATAGGACAATGATGTTGATTAAAAATTACACCATTCCAGACCCTTTCTTTTTCCACTTGATTAATATTACCAATAATTAACAAGTTCCGGGTCGAATTCGATACCGATACCAATAGTATATGCAACATGGAGTTAATAGTTGAACTACGATAAGACAACCAGGACGGGTTACTTATATTCCCCTGGACGGGTACAAACAGACAGATTTTCAAAGCAGAGAAAACTGTGCAACTTATAATCAGTCAGACTAAAATGCAGACTAAAAATAAGGCGTAGGTTTTCAGTCACGTACCCGAGGGTGTGTTCTAGTAAAATATATTTATGCAAACAAAAATGCTTTCAGTCGTATGATAAATGCCGTAAAACATGGATTTGTGCATCAGAAATGATATAAGTGATGATCTTTGAAAGTGGGATTCATTGTTAACATTTATAGTAATTTGAATTATATATATATTTCTAATCTTATAATTATACTACATATATAAACTATATTCACCTTGACACGAAGAAATTTTTATCAGTCTAGCATAACTTTCAGTTAACTTGGAAAATACTTAAAGTATTTCAGGTATGACAATGCAACAAACGATGTTATAATGAAATAATGAAGTAAGCTATTTTGCTTAAAATTAAATTTTATTGTGCATATTGCATGACATAAATGGAACCTTACGAACACAAAAAGAATTGTATAGAACAGACCAGTAAAATTATGAATACTTACGTATAATCGATGGATAATTGCTCTTGTCGACCAAATTTCTTAAAGCATGGTCCTCTGAATAAATATTTCCAAGTAATACTAGAAAGATAAATTCGAAAAACATTTCTAACGGTGAGATCGGTGCGTCCTGTTGTGAAACTGTACTTCGTATATACGTAAAAGCCTGCATGTCACTCTCTGTATATTGATATCCTGTTTCAATATAATTACGATTTATTGAGAAATCCTTAGGTTAACTTTCATGTCGCGTGTGTATCAACTTTCGGAAAAACTCGGTCTGTTAACCAACATAGTGAACATCAGTTACTGTTAAAAAAAAGAAAATTTATGCTACTACATATTTTTTTCGACGTACAAGAACCACACTTAGTCATTATGCATTGTTGCCCACTTGTTGTCGCGTGCACTAGTTAGAACCCTTGCAACAACTCTGTTTAGGGGTCCACGGTTGTTGCAAGGCAAATGTTCTGTCTCTATCCAGTTAACCAATTATTTTCAGTGCCATTTCAAATGTCCCCGACATTCATCCCGGACGGCCTCTATTACAGGACCTGTAATTTATTGTTAATTTGTTAACCCTGTTTGTTCTCTTCCTGAACATGTATGAAATATTTCCCACTAGACGTTAAGCAACCAACAATCGATCAATCAAGCACTAGATAGTGCTCATCCTTTTTTCTAATTTTAAACTCACAATTCAGAAATTCAACTATGTTCAAAGGGAATCCCAGTCATTCAACGTCTAACAAAAGTAATAAATTCAAAACGTGTGGGTTGTATCAAGAAACAGAAAAAATATCATAAATTAATTCATCACGCCAAATCCCTACATGCACTTGAAAACACAGCCAGGGAACAGCTCCTTTTTGCCTTCATCATCTTATAGTATTAGTGAGACCCTATAAAAGTGTACACCAATTCTCGCATCACTTAGGCACCTTTCCGTTTTAACAAAATGCGTTGCTCTCTATAAAAATAAGAAGATGATATATGATTTCCAATGAGACAACTACATGTATCCAACTGAGACAAAAAGACGTAGATGTTAGTTACTATGGGTCCCTGTACGGCCTTCAACAGTAAGCAAAACCAAGACCGAATAGCAAGCTATAAGAGGCCGCGACATGAGAAAATGTAAAAACAATATAAACAAGAAAACCAAACGGCCTTATTTATATACATGAAAGCAAACGAAAAACAAATAAGATATACAGCAACAAACTAAACATAATGAATTACAGGCCCAAGCTGACTTGGGACAGATACATACAGAATTTGGCGGGGTTTAACATGTTTGAAGGAACATGATAGGCACATACAGAATTGAGCGTGTCAAACATGTGTGTGAATGCGATTAGCGAATTCGAATTAAATGTACGTGTGAACGAGGTATTAGATAAATATCTTTTGTAGCCTTTGTATCAGAACTGAATATTCAATATTAACTTGAAGAAGTGTGTCGACTAGGACTTTCTACTCAGTCCATATACTTTTTAGAGGTCAACATATCCACGTAACGACTTCTCATACATATGCTATAATTGTTCTATCATTATCAATTAACATACAATCCTAAAGAAATTAAGCAAAACAGAAAAACTGTTGAGAAACATATTTTTTTTTTTTTATATCAAAGTTGTCTTTTTTCATTGCTAAATCCTCAGAGTTTCAAAGAGGCTTCGCATCTCCATGCCCGCCTTACCTTTTCTACCAGGGTGCTGCCCTAAACACACTGCGTGGGGCCAACCGCCTCAACACCCCCTGCGGACCAACTATATGTGAAGCCACCAACTCATATTGTCAAGTAATTGCAGGTTTCCCCATTTATTCAAGGAGGAGCGAAAATGAAAAGAATCTTTGCCTACCTACGTACATTTGTTCCTTTTATTTCAAGTGAAATGAATGCATGCAAATAAGATGCAGCAGAAACAAAGTAACATCTCTTATAGCTTCTTTATGTATAACGTGGGGGTACCCAAATTGCACCTATTTTGACAGTTTTTATGAATTTCGAACAGCGGTATACAACTGTTGCCTTTATTTTTCACCTACGTTTTTTTATGATCCAGACAAAAGTTTCCATTTTGTTTTTATTTTTTAGATGTATCATTATTCACTACAAATGTATACAGTCCCACCAATTTGATTTTTAATCCATATTGAATCATAGAAAAATGGGTTTGAACTGACCTCCAAACGACCCATGATTCTGTAATGAGGAGTACCCAAAATTGCATCCATGCTTAAATTCACGTCCGTAAAAATTTAATAACTGATGTTTTGTATTATTTCTTCAAATATTTAGAACAATATTTGACAAAAGTCCATGCTTACTATTCATTTTTAAGAAATGGATGCCTGTAACATATTGTATTTGCTCATTTTTAAAAGATTACTTTTTATGGACGTCGCATGGCGACGTTTTCGTAGATTTTACTTTTTCCAGTAAACACTTCATCTGTTGATTTATACTGTGCACGTTCTGTGAATATTTAAATACATTAACCTATTTGAAAGACGTGCATAATGTCAAGTGATAAAAAAACATAAAGTGTTTAGTCCCTTAGAAAAAGATTTTCGCTAAATAGGTGCAATTTGGGTACTGTGACGTTAGGCCATTATAATGTTTTGCGAATTGATAATTCATTTTCATTTGTTGCTACGTATGCTTAGTTTGATATTCATTTTCTAAATCCTCCTCCTCCACCAGGAAATCAAATGATCATCCCCTTTTGACGTTTTGAAAGGTTACTTTTTCTTTTGTCGTTTGACTCCTTCTTACAACGTAATAAAGCCGAAACCATTTTTTTTATTCGGGTGAACTTCAAGAGCAAATTTTTGTTTTAACTTTGTACCTACCGATGGGCATTTTGTACCTTTGTCTTTTGGTCAAATCCTCCTGCAACCTTGTTTTTGTTGCTATCAAACAAAACTAAATTATGGCTGCATGGGGAGGAAAGTATAAGACCCCCTATAACGTTCTACCCCCTGTCCCTATCAAACACTCCCTGAAAATCAAATGATCGTTTCCTTATTACGATATGAAAGGGTAATTTTCTTTTTTTTGGCTTGATGGCTTCTTGCAATCAGAGACATGTTTATAATATGTCTCTGCTACAACGTCATTTCGCAGAATCCTTTTTTTCAGCTGGTCTTTGAGAGCAAATGTTGCTTTCAACTGTATACATTTAACCTTAATACTCTGTATCATTGTACATTTTGTCAAAAATAAGACATTATAGAAAAACAAAGCATATGGGGGTTTTCATCAATGACAAAACAAGAATGTGTCCATAGTACACGGATGCCCCACACGCACTATCATTTTCTATGTGCAGTGAACCGTGAAATTGGGGTCAAAACTCTGATTTGGCATTAAAATAAGAAAGATCATATCATCGGGAACACGTGTACTAAGTTTCAAGTTTTTAATGACGTGTTTTGTACTATCAAAACTATTGGCATTATAAAAGACGTACAATATGTAAAGTTATGTGTTACCCACACAAATAACATAACGAAATTCTTACTAGATTCTTCTTATATGATAACTATGTGTTATACGGTATTTTTCACTTCATATGTTCCGCTCTTCAGTATGTTTTATTACACATAGATATAGTAATTTAAGTTGTGACTAACTTTTTTTTATATTTATTTTATTTATTTAATTTATATCGATTACATATGTTTAATTATTTTTATATTCATTTTTTTAATTTACATAATTTATACTTTTTATTTATTGTTCCTGTTATTTCATTTCATTTGATGAAATCATGCTTAATTTAATAATTGATGTGAAAGATAAAAAAAATAACACTGTTAAGCATCCACTTATAGCTATATAAATAAGAAGATGTGGTGTGATTGCCAACTCTCCACAAGAAACCAAATGACACTGTGCCAGAAATTAACAACTATAGTTCACCGTACGGCCTTCAACAATGAGCAAATAGTCAGCTAAAAAAGGTCCCGAAATGACATATTTTAAACAATTCAACCATGAAAAATAACGGCCTAATTTATGTACAAAAAAATGAACGAAAAGCAAATATGTTACACAGCAACAGACGACAACCACTGAATTACAGGCTCCTGACTTGCGACAGGCAAATACAAAATGTGGCTGGGTTAGACTTGTTTTATGGCGCCATCCCTGCCCATAACTTTGGACAGTGGTGTAACAGGACAACGCAAGACAAACTATTCAATACAACAAACGAAAAACAAATATGAAAAACAACATAAAACTACAACCACCTAGTAACAGGCTCCTAACTTGAGACAGGGACATAAAACCTGTGACGGGGTTAAACTCATTTGAAGGCGCCAACCCTCCCCGAACCTGGGACAGTGGTGTAACAGTACAACATGAGAACAAATTATAAAAATCAGTTGAAAATGGCTTAACCCATCAAACGGATACAAATAAAAATACATCTAACAAAAACACAGACGTGGACGGGTACTTATACATTCAACAACAAAAAGACACTAAGTACAGATCTGAGAGTACTCGCAGTTACTGACAGCTAGTTAAAAGCCAATAACAACTAATAAAAAAAAAATCATATATCTAAGACTTAGTTTGATTCTTATTTGGATATTCATTTCATTTTCAATATTCAGCAGTTCAAAATGTGTATTTTCAAAGTCATTCTGACATTTATTCTATCTTTCAATGTTCAACTTTTACGCAAATCCATTGCAATTAAACTTTAATATTCATTCGCTATACAATTTAAACAATTTAATTTTCACAATGTCTTTTCCCAATTAAGTTCTCAGACGTGCAGCTACATGATGAAAATAACACTTTTTTAATTGCGTGCGTCATAAGCTAAGCCCATTTCTGAACTTACCTTCATCAGAAACGCTCAAACGCTGATTTGATGGTGTGGTGTTTTAACAATCACTGGAAAATGTTACATTTTAATGTGAAATGAACTAGTACACATTTTGTTTAGGGACCAGCTGAAGCCCGCCTCCGGATGCGGGATTTTCTCGCTGTGTTAAAGACCCATTGGTGGCCTTCGGCTGTTTTCTGTCCATTGGTCTGGTTGTTGTCTCTTTGACACATTCCCCATTTCCAATCTCAATCTTATTTCACACTAGACCGATACGTTCAGCTCAAAATTAATAAAATAAAATAAAAAAAAA